GTGGGGGGGGCTCAGGGTGTCCGGAAATATCTGCCCTGAGTTTTGGGAGGAATTTGGGGATGTTCCCTTTGAGTTTTAGGGTGTTTTGTCCCAAAGGAAGAATCCCCTCTGTTTTTTAACGGGAAGGGGGTGGGGGGGGAGGGGGTCCCTGTGCTGCAATGCATTTTAGGGAGGGGTGTTCACATTCACTTCACCCCAAAACCCCCCTCCCACAGTTCAGGACTGTCGTGAGATGCCCCAAACACCTCCATGTGATGTTCCCCCCTCCCCCACCCCCCCCACAGCCTCATTTTGGGTGGAATCAACCCGCTTTTGGGGGCTCTGACCCAGTCGGCGGTGCAGAAGTTGACAGCCTCGGCGAAGTTGTAGCCCTGGTTGAATCCGCTGTGATACGCGCGAGGGAAGGTGATGACAAACTCCCCGGCACATTGGTTGGTCCGAACCACCTGGGTAAGAGCACGATTTGAGCTTAAAACACAAATATTTGGGGAGCTGTCTGGGGGGGGGGGGCACAGCCCCCCGTACTCACAGGGACACCGTGGGCCATGAGGGTGTTGGGGTTCATGAGGGTGACGAGTTGGTGCAGGAGGTCGGGTTGGCTCTCAAACAGCTCCGGCGTCAGCTTCTTCATCACCTCCTCCAGGTGCTCGGCGGCGAAGGACGGCACACCGTACCACGTCTTGGGTTCACCCCTGGGGAGAAATGGGGGTCAGGGGACCCACAGAGTGACCCCGGACCCATGGAGCCACGTGGGGCAACTCGACCCCCCCCCAAAGAACTTCATCCTGTTCTAAAAGGGGGAGGTTGGGTTGAACCCAAACTCTGGTCTTGTGTTGGAGCACGCGGTGAGGTTGTGGTTGGGGGGCTCAGGGACACCACATCTGCTCTCACACCACACCTTGAGGTCAAATCTATGGGGTCATCAGCACCCCAAAAAGCTCACCACACATGTTGAGTTCGGCTCTATGGGGTCAGCATCACCCCAAAACCCCCCTCCTGCCCCACATCCAGCCCCCTACCAGTGGAGGTAGTTGATGGAGTAGCTCCAGTGGTCCTCGATGTGCCAGCAGAAGGCAGAGAAGACCATCCCCACGTAGAGCCACGGCACCTTCATGCCCGAGATGTCGGCATTGATGTGGCACAGCACCGACTGCTTCAGCACCGGCATCACGTTCAGGTTCCACCCGCTGCCAGCATACTCCTGGGGGGGGGGGCCCAACGTGTCAATGTCAGCCCACTGGTAGGGGTCGACGTCAATGGGGAAGAAGCACAGCCCTCAAAAGAATGGTGTTGACACCGACGGGGTCAACGCTGCCCTCGTGGTGGTAGTGTCACCTCAATGGGGTCCAAAGTCAACGGGAAGAGAAATGTCAGCCTTGAGGGCAAGGCATCATCCCAATGGGGGTCAACATCAATGGAGGACCAACGTCATCCTCAAGGGTTGGCACGACCCTCACAGAGGCCCGACATCCATCAGGATCCCGCTGTCACTCCAACAGGGACCACCACCAACAGGGGCCCAACGTCACCCTGGAGGTGACGGCACCCCCCCGCCGCCCCCAACGCCTCCGTGGGGCCAACCCTCACCTCCTCCTCGGGCGACAGCTTCCTCTTGCCATCGCTGATGGGGAACCCGCTGCCGAACTCCTTGGAGTGGATGTCGGCGCCATACTCCACCGTCACGTCCTCCTCGATGCTATTCACCAACCGCCAGAACTCCTTCTCCACCAGCTCTGTGGGCACCATCTGAGGAAGGGGGACACAGAGGTGAGGAGGGGGCGGTGGCGGGGACGAGGAGGGGGGACACAGGGGGCCGTCCCAGAGGACCCACGTGGACGGGCATGTTGAAGTAGTCGGCCTTGAAGGAGTCGGCCATCTCCCCGAAGCTCTGCAGGGTGTACTCCCGCGTCGCCTGCTCGAAGCCAAAAGCCTCCGGAGGCCGCTTGCACTCCTTTGGGGGGAGAGAAACGGGGGTCACATTCTGGGTCTGGAGTCCTCCAGAAGTGTACAATCAAATATTAAGATGTTATAATCACAAAATAAACAAGAGAATTAGGCAAAGCAGACTATGACAACAAAGGAGAATAAACAGAAGGCTTACCCCTACCCTGGGCTCACCCACAAAACTCCAGCAGAGCAGATCTCCAGCAGAGACCCTTCCCCCCCTTGCAGCCAGCTCTTAAATAGCTCTAGGAGGGGGCAGCCAGGCTCCACCCCTTCTGGCAGCACAGGTGAACTGAATTGCCTCCACCTGTGCTCCTCTGGCTGACTCAGTGCTCGCCCCAGGTGATCAATCAGGGGTTCAGGTTGTGACTCAGCAGCTCCCATACAAGGGGAGAAAACAACGGGTTGACAGCCCCAGGGAGAAGGGGAACAGAGGAGGTGGATCCTCGTCAGGGATGGGACGCAAGTGCGGCCCCAGGGGTCCCAAAGCCACGGGTAGTTGTGATTTGGGGGTCCTGACCCAAAGCTAGATGCCACCTGGGGTCACCTGGCCCACAAAGAGGACATAGGAGTCCCAACCCCACAGGTAGAAGCAATCTGGGGTCCTAAACCCCCCCCAAAAAAGGCACAGAGGGTCCCAACCCCACAGACTGACACCACCTGGGGGACCCATCCTACCCCACGGACGTAACTCAGTGCTCCCCCACCCCCACCCCCCTCAGCCCCATGGGGGGGTTCTGGGGTCCCCCTGCCCCCTCCTCACCGCCATGACGCATTTGGGGCAGCGCCAGATGCCTTTGGGGATCTCGGGCAGGGGGGGCAGGAGGCAGAAGATGTGATAATTATCGTCGCAGCCATCACACAGCAGCAGTTTGTCGTCCTCGTCGCCCCGCGAGCAGATCCGGCACACGTAGGACTCCACCTTTTGGGGGCAAAATCCCTTCAGTTTGGGGTAAAACCACTTCATTTTGGGGTACAACGGGTCCATTTGGGGGCACAGTTGGTTCATTTTGGGGGCACAAGCATTGATTATGGGGGTACAACCAATTCATTTGGGGCACAATCAGATCATTTTGGGGAACAACCGGTCCATTCCCCATCCGTTTTGGGGCAAAACTGGTTCATTTTGGGCTACAACCAACTCACTTTGGGGGCACCCTGCTTCATTCTGCGGCACCCCCGACCCATTTTGGGGCACCCCCAGCTCATTTTGGGGCACCCTGGTTCACTCTGAGGCACCCCCAACCCGTTCTGTGACACGCCAGCTGCTGTTTCTGCACCCCAAGCTCATTTAGATGACCACCCCCGGCCCGTTCCATGTTACCCCCTCCTCCTTTTTGGGGTGTTTCTTTCTTTCCGAGGGGGTCACTCACAAACTGGCTGTTGCTGTGGCTGCGACGCAGGCGCATGGTCATTTTGGTGCAGGGCTCTGGGCTGTGCCTCAGCTCCTCTTTGCTCTCAGGATAAACTCGCGCTGACAGCGGCTCCGTTTTGCCCTCAGCCCCCACACCCAATGGTTCCTCCTTCACCACCACGGTCGGGGGGCACTCGGGCCCCTCTTTGTCTATAGGGTTAGGATTTAGGGTTACCAGTGAGGTCCTTTTAACCTCCCTAATTGGACTCCGCCCCGCTCCGTACCTTTTTTCCGTAGGGTTTTGTCTTTGGCCACCAATCCCAACCCCAACATTTTGGGGCCGGCGCCGTAGATCTGAAGTTTTTTCAGCTCTGGGTTTTTCTCGATGTCCTCCTCTGTGGGTTCGGGCTGTGGGGTTTTTTTTTTTGAGGAGGAGGTCAGTGATGGAGCAGTCCCCAAAACTGGGGGGGGGTGTTGGAATGTCACAGGCAATTTTGGGGGTCCCTAAGAGCTCGGGGAGGGAAAAAAGGACATCCCAGAAAACTCGGAGGGCCGCTTTAAGGGTCCCAAAGGGCTCCACAGGGTATTGTGAGGACCCTAAGAGCTGGGAGGGGGCATGAGGACGTCCCCAAAAGCCTGGGGGGGGGGAAATTTTGGGGGTCCCAAAGAGCTCCATTGGGTATCGGCATGTCCCCAAAACCTCGGAAGGGCAACATGAGGGTATCCCAAAAAGCGCAGGATCGGGGGTAGGAGACTTTCAGCTTCCCCAAAAGCTTTTTTGGGGGGGTTGTTTATTTTTGGGGGGGGGTCCAACCTCCTGCTGCAGACGCTTGGCCCGCCGTCCATAGGTGTTGAACTTGGAGGGCTGCACAGACTGCCGCAGAGGGATGCTGTGGGGTTTGTACTCCCTGTCCTTCTCTTCGCTGTCGAAGGGGCGAGCGGTGCACTGCTGGGGGGGAAGGGGGGGAGGGAGAGAGGTGAGGAATCCCCCCCCAAAACCCCAAAAGTCATTTGGGGGGGGGTGGGCAGCACCCTGAAAGCTTTTGGTTGGGTATTTATGGGATGGGGGTAATGATGGCTGGAGGACTTGACCTGATTGTTCGGCTCAGATGAATGGGAGCAACATCACCCCAAAATCTCATCCTGTACCCACTGGGGTTCAACATCACCCCCAAATCCCCACCTTACACCTTCTGTAGGGCCAACATCCCCCAAAATCCCCACCCTACATCTTTGGGGATAAACATCCCCCCAGATCCCCACCCTACATCTTTGTGGCCCAAAACTCCCCCCCAAATCCCCACCCTCCACCTCCCTTAGGCCCTCCAGCCCCATACAACCCCTCTTTTTCACCCACTCCCACCCCCCCAGCCCCTCACCACCAGGTTGGCCCCCGACTGGTACATCTCATAGGGGTAAATGATTCGCTCGTAGTGGGCGCGGAGCAGGGACCCGATGTTCTTCCCTGATGGGTAGGAGAGCCTCTGTGCCACCCGAGCCCAGCGCCGGTCCTTGCAGATGGCCTCGTAGCCACCCTCCTCCATCACCACCTGTGGCAAAGGGGGGGGTCAGGGGGGGTCGGGGGAATTTTGGGGGGGTCAGGGGCCATTTTGGGGGCTTGGGGCTTCACTGAGGGATCTGGAATGGATTTCTGGGGATACTGAGGTAGGGTTTGGGGGTCTCGGCCTCATAGGCACCCTCCTCCATCACCACCTGTGGCAAAGGGAGGGGGGGGAGTCAAGGGGCATTTTGGAGGGGGACCAACTGTACCTCCCCCACCCCAATAATCCCGTGC